TTAATTTTTCTGTAAGAAAATCGTACAATTAATGCAATTCGTTATGTCTTCAAACACATCACGTATCAGCGATTTGAGTTTGATTTTATTTCGCATTATTGTTGATTACTCCGGGAATTTATCTTACGCATACAAATGGATAATTTGGAATCTGGATTATTCGTGTAATTGTTATTTTCAAACAAAAATGCGAAAAATTTCTTATTACACATAGCTAAGAATTTTTAAACTAGCAACCTTAAAGAAACAATAGGATATTACTTCTGCATTTGATATTCGATTAATGCTCAGTAGTTCTCGCAGTGATAATCCATATAGAAAAATCCGAGAAATGAACAAAAATAAATACGATTTCGTTTAGGAAAGAATACGCCTTCGAAGCATTTTACTTTCATCAAATTTCAGTAGTGTTAACAGCGATCTATTTTTACAAACCACACTCGAAACAATAGTCTCCAGGTGTTCCATCTTAAGCGTCCTTCTTGCTGGCTCAGGAATTTTTCTTATTTTAGAAAAGCTGCCTTGCTTCTGTAACGCCTATATCCAATATCCACAGTTTCAGTTCTCCGATGTTTTGTACTGCTCCCAGAACGTTTTTCAAATAATGATTTAATAACGCTTTAAGAAATAAGTTACAAAATACACTTAGCCAACGGGTCAACAGCCCACATCCGTCAGAGACATGCAACGGCAGAACGCAACTGTTACACGAATTTCGCCTGCTGCTGTGTATGATCACCTAGGCATACAGAAAAAGCTCTAGCAATGAAAGCTATTTCCTTGCTCTATGAATATTGTTATATGTCGATTGTTATATCTAAAGGAAGTAAAGCGAATGAAAACGTAGCGCCATCTATCGGCGGAAAAAGTAACGAAAAATTAAAGTAGTAAAATTTTAATAAGCGTTAGAAAGGACTGGATTGGAATTAAAGTCATTAACTAAATAAGATAAATCTTAATGAATGTGAAAAGCTTCAAGAAAATCGAATTCACCAATGGAAGAAGCTTTAAGGATAATTTTTGCAGACTCGGTGAAAATTGTGATCAAGTTCCCAACCATGATCAACTTTATCATAATTAGATTCACACATTTGATTTAATCTCTGTTTCTGTAACGCACACTAGACACAACACTAATAATGCTAGATTGTCTCCGTTTCTGCAAAATCATTTTTAATTCTTGGGAACTGTATGATCACACCGTACTCTCTTATCTAAACGAACTCTACTTTAAATGATGACATTACAGTGGTACCTCGGGTATACGTCACTTTGAACCAAGTCTAACTTGATATAAGTCCTGTTTGGACGCGAAAATGTTTGATTATATGATATTTGTTTGAAATACGACCTCGAGTTCGATGAGTGAGGAGTACTACTCTTGGATATACATCTTTCGAGACAATGTTAAGACTGCCGGTGACAGTCAGTACGCCTGTTGCTATTATTCACTAAAACACCTGCGTTGAAACTCTAAATTTTTCCTATGACTGTGTTTTTTTCGCATAATCTTTCGTAAATTCGTTAGCAGTGAGTTTTAAGTAAGGAGGAAAATACGGAGGCGAAAAGAAAAAGATTTTTGCAAAGTATGGAAGATGGCAGGCGTATCCAAGTCTTAGTCTCTGCATATCGTATGACGATGTGTCTAGTATTGTAAATAATAAAAACATTATTAAATCAGTCAGTTTGATTCAAGGACGTGAAACGGATTAATTACGTCTAACCAAGGTACGACTGTATTTTAAAGATTAAGATCTTTTTATAACTGTGGAGAATACAAATTGTTTGTATCAAAAGCCAACAGTAGGGCAGATTTTTTCCCGAGTTGCATCAATTCTACTTCCACAAAACGTTGGCGAAAGGTAAAACAAATTTAAATTATTTAGCGTTATGCAATTCAACCATTATTTTCACGCATAACCTTTCTTTGTGGAGAATTCTTGGCTTAGCCCTTTCAGTACTGAGCGAAACATCGTACCTATGAGAAGAATACCGGGCCAATTTGACAAATTTGCTATGGGTTGTGAAAACTCTTATACAAACCAAATTAAGAATGATATTTACAAAATTCTCTGCTGCTGATTATAACTTATGAAGAAGGTAACGAACATAGACTGCTAAGTTCTTTAGACAGGTCAAGAAAAGACTGAAAAATTGAATTCCCTGTATCGATGCAACATTGTTTCGTGATACATAAGCTTTATGGTGTAACAGCTATTAACATTTTGCGATTACGGTCCCAAAGGTTTTGCGGTGTCGATTTTCTACCTTATCGCTCCAGCGTATAGGTAGTCTCGGCACCAACCAACATAGAATATAACCACAAAGTTAAACCCAAAAACAATTTTTTAAATTCTCTTGCAATGGAATTAGACTATTTATTACGTTTTATAAATTTTTTGGAGAGAGTTCTCAAGCAATGCTAATAGTAAATCGCCACTGGATACTCAGTGACATCGTCGTTGGTATTTTCGCAAGTGTTGACGAACGATATATCATTGTTCGGCACTGAAAGGGTTAAGAAAGAAGATGAATTCGATTCCAACTGAACATTTCGAGCCTTCAATAATACTGAGAATCGCGTTAAGAAGCTGAAATTTTAAATTTATTCATGCAAATTTGCGTAACTTTGAGCTCCTCGTTTAATTAGACTGCTTTTGTACGACGATATATCCTACAAAAATTTCTCTTTTTTGATGAAATCTTCTGTTTCTAATACATAAATAGCTTTAAAAAAAATCACTCAAAGAACAGATTTTGCATAGAAAAGCCTTAAAATATTACGTCCAATAAAAGCCCAGCGGTTAGGACTCATTATTTAAAAACATACGATTTGGGCTAATGATTCTTCATCAAAATCACCCGAAATTGATGAGAGAACAAGTTCGTTCGTATGACATGTTGGCAAACTAAACCTAAATCTTCAGTCTGGATCATGGGTGACAAATACTTAGCGTTCTTTTTTTAGTGCGTCATGCGAGCTTATATCGTTTCTCCCCCGCCCACCCCGCTTTTTTTTTTTTTTTTTTCTCTCTCTCTCCAGTTAACTTTGCGGGGGTTATTTGCAAGTGAAAATTCATTTAAATCTTTTTTTCAAATGCTTCATTTAAGTTTTTTTCCAATGCTTATAATAGATTTACTGAAAGAAGGTCAGTGACTAGGTTTTATTAGAAAAGGTTCGATTTCTTTTGATAGTATTTCAGTTGCACTTGAGAAATTCGTTAAAACTTCTTTGTTTCTATTTATTCATAATGTCTTTCCCCCTACGCCATCCAAATGTTGAAGGCAGTGCATCTAGTTCTAAACTCGGTCACCTCAGTATAGTAGATTCATAATATTTCTTCCCCCTATAGCATTCAAATGGCTGAAAACAGTGCGTCTAGTTGTAAACTCGGTCACTTCAGTATAATAGATATAATGTTACTTTCATGCTATACGCACATAGCTACAAACAAAAAAGTAAACAGCAAGATTACATGCTTCACAGCTAAATTAAAATCATCTTTTTGAGCAATTAAAATTAATAAAATATGTGCATTAAAATACTATGTTCCTAGAAACTTCTGAATTAACGAAAAAAAATTAATCCACTATTAAAGAGAAAAATATATAAATATTAGCAGATAGCAAATTTAGTCCCTTTTTGCTCCTGAAGAAACAGGTATCTGAGCGGGTTACAGCCGAAAACATCGCGTCAAAAACATCGCAGACGAAAATGTCGCGGAGAAAACAATGCAAGGCGAAAACGTCGTGCTACAAAACATCGTGGGAGAAAACATCGCAAAGAGAAAACATCCCAGTTCTAAAACATAGTGGTACAAAACATCGTCGTCGAAAATAAAGCGGTTCAAAAACATCGCAGTTTAAAAACATCGTCGTTGAAAATATCGTGGTAAAAAATAAAGTATCTACAAATCATCGCATGACGATAACATCGCAGACATGCTTTTTTCAGGCATGCTGGATATTCCCATAATGATTTGTGAGCGCAAGATGGAAAGAAGGATAATTTTTACTTTCATATTTTTTATTAATTAATAAATTTTTGCTGAGAAAATAAAAAGGAAACTTAAGCATACAAAATTAATGCAACTTATAGCACTTAATAGAATTTTAAACCGACATAGTTATCTAACAAAGGCCATTAATAAATCATTTTATAAAGTTTTTTACTGGTAATATTTCATGAAAAGTATAATCTATAAGTTACATTTAATTTTTCTATGCTTAAGTTTCCTTCTTACGTTTTCAGCAAAAATTTATTAGTTAATAAAATATGTGAAAGTAACATTTATCCTTCTTTACACTTGCGCTCACAAATCATTATGGGAATATCCATTTACAATTATTAAAACCTGAAAAAAGCATGTCTGCGATGTTTATCGTCATGCGATGATTTGTAGATACTTTATTTTTTACCACGATATTTTCGACGACGATGTTTTTAAAACTGCGATGTTTTTGAATCGCTTTATTTTCTACGACGATGTTTTGTACCACGATGTTTTTAGAACTGCGATGTTTTCTCCCACGATGTTTTGTAGCACGACGTTTTCGCCTTGCGTTGTTTTCTCCGCGACGTTTTCGTCCACGATGTTTTTGCCGCGATGTTATCGGCGGACACCATCTGAGCGTGGTCGCCCTCTCAGTCTGTAGAATTTTACTCAAAATCTAGGCCAAACAAAAATTGCCTTTTTTTATGTGTCTTTGTCGTTTCTCATAGTATATCTTCTTCAATTGAATCAGATTATTTGGATATAAGCTAGCGAAAACGTTAAGCATTTGAAATAAACTTTAAATGAAAGAATTATAGGAGACTGAGCACTTGAGTTGTAATAAATAGCTTATAATACGCAATAATAAAAAAATGCCCTCTCTCGTTATTTTAAAGTCTTATTTACCTAATTGTATTACATAAATACCCTAATTAAAGTAAATTTACTATTTTATATTTAGAATTTACACCAACATCAACCGGGTTATCGATAAATATTTGTTACCTGCTGCTTCGATCACTTCCTTGTCGATGGGATCCGTTAACAGACAGAGTAAAGCATCTTTTCCTTTTATGCCTTTCAGAAGCGCATCCCTTTCAATTGGCTTCTCCTGATCATAAATTTCCACTTCACATCTGTAAAAAAAAAAAAAAAAACAAAGATTTCATCAAGGAAATGTTCATACAAGATTTAAATATTCGACAATATTAAATATTGTTCATATAAGAGTTTCATCGAAGTTAAATGTTCACAAAAAATATTATTTTAAATGCCTTTGATTACTTTCAGGACATTGCTAAGAAAGATTAATGCGTTATTTAATATATTATTTTGCACTGCAAGAATGACGGGTCGCCGTCACTGAACACAAAGAGAAACAAATTTAGTGTTCAAAGCCAAACACATGAGAGTTATGGTACTTATGTACTAAAGCAACCACCTTGGCGCAGTTTGGCGATTTTTGCAGATCAAAAGGTAAAAAGTTACTTATCGAGTGCAAGTTCGTGATTTTCGCGACTATTTCCTAACTATTTCTATTAATCGTAAAGTCGACAATTATTATCAACATAAAGAAAACACACAAAAGATTATATAATGCAAAAATAAATAAACTTATATTTCGCGAAATCTTCTATAATTTTCTGCTCTGTCAATTTCCCTCTGTACGAAGCGATCTGTCACTTAAAAAAACATCAGACAATTACACAAATCTGGCATCGCGCATAACTTCGGCCATTGCTAACAAACTATCATCTCCTCCTTGTTCCCTTTAGCAATTTTGCTGCAAAATACTGTATTGCTGTAGAAATTTTATCTCATTTTCTTTATCACCTTTTCTGATAAATTCCAACCAGTGGTCTATAAACTGACTGGAACTTGGAATATGAGAAAATGAATGAATTCAGAAATGACGATGAAAATGAGCTGGTTGGTTTTTAGTTGATTTATTCGATTACGGCAAAGCACTCGAGAGCTATCTGCCAAAGGGGAGGGATGCCTTCGTGGAGGATTTCCAAGGGAAACTGGCTCGCATACACACTACATATGGGAAAAACCACGAAAACGGCCGTTCGCGTGATTCGAATTTCGGACAGAACTACCAGTGTCAACGACTTTACCGATCGACCGCTGGTGGGCGAAAATACGCTGAATGAAGCCATGCTAAGTAATGAATTAAATTGTATTTCGAATATAAATCATCACGTTACACATCCAAAGTTGTCTTGAAATTTTGAAGATTTACTTCTTCAGCTGCACAAGTGCAGATGATTGCACAAAAGTGCTAATTTATTTGCACTTCCGCAGCTAAAGAATGTTCTACATTTAAAACTTCGAAACTAGTTCTGAAAATGTATGAATATTAGTCTGAATCTGGTAGCTTTAACTCCTCCAATAACCGTTATTCGGAGTGTTATTTTAAGTCAATGTACTTCTGTAAGAAGCAAATAATATAAATCCCGTAGACCCATAATCGAACCTTTAAACTCCAGGAAAAACTCTGTTCTTAAAACACTGTGGCTTATAGGGTTGGATTGGATTATTCAATTACGGCAAAGCACACGAGGGCTATCTGCCTAAAGGGAGGGATGCCTTCATGAAGGCCTTTCTAAGGGAACCTGGCTCGTATACACGTTACACATGGGGAAAACCACGAAAACGCCCATGCAGCCAGACCGTTCGCGGGATTCGAACCTCAGACCGAACTACCTGTGTTCAGCGTCTTTACCACTAGGCCGCTGGTGGGCGTGGCTTCTGAGCGAAAGTATATCTTTGCAATAGCCATTAATTTGTGTTAAGGCGCCACAACTGGCAACTATTCGCTCTTTTATGGCGAATTTTGGCTATTTCTCTGTCAACATACAAGTACCAGAAATTCTATTGTTTTAATATATTTGAAATATGAAACATCTACATGCCTCAAGTATTTAAATTACTCATTTACCTAGATTATATTTAAAAAACACATTCAAGTACTATAAAAATTGGTTTCCGTGCACCTTAAAAGTGAAGGCAAAACAAAATCAGGCCACTGTACATGTTCACTGTTAAAGAGTTTCAGGGTAAAATCAATAAAAATTTATCTAAAAGTCTGTTTAGTGAAGATTAATTAAACAACTGGAAATTGAAATGTATTTCGAAGATTTAAAATGCTTTCAGTAATAAGTTCGAAATTTCTGAAAAGGAAACTCATTAATTATGGTAAAGCACACTAGGTCAATCTGCCTAATAGGTGCCTTCCTGGAGGATTTTTCAAGAAAAATAGTCTTACGGAGTGGGGAAACCATTAAAACGCTCATGTAACTGACACGTTCGCCGGGATTTGAAGCCGGTCGCCCAAAACACTTTGTTAAGGTTTTTCTACACTCTCTACCGGTTTGTTGTTGCATTCAATCCTGCTAACCTATTTCTTTGTCTTTTTTAACTTTATTATTAAGAATCATTTTTTTCGAGCTTACGCCATATACAATTCAACGGCAAAATTATAAAATTTTTAAAAGCAGCATATTTTAGAATTCCCGATGAGGTGCTAAGTATTGACATACATTTTTCTATTTATTTCAATCTTTTCTAAGTTTATCATATCAATGCACAGTTTTCTTAGTTAGATGGCTTGCAAAACTTTTTTTGCCTTATTATTAATGTTTTGTATGTTAAATGATTAATTAAATACAGTAGAACTCCTCCAATTATCCGAACTCCGGCTATCCGAATCGCTGATTATCCGAATCACTTTCAGAAGAAAAAAAAATAAGACAGAGACGTAATGTTGGACAATCAACGATTTCAAACATTAAAAGGAGCAAACCTGCACTTTCAAACTTCGTGTTACTGCTTGAAAGCGAAGACTGAAGTTCTTCAAGAAAATCAATGACGGCAGCAACAAATAAAAATTTATAAGATGTCGTTTTCAAGTGGTTTTTGCAGCAATGTTCTATGGGAAAGCTTGGTCAGAAGCTTGGTTGTACATCCTTTAAAGGTTGGCTAAGAAATTGTAAATGCAGGCACGGTGTCCGTCGTGCATGCACTTACAATTTCTTAGCCAGCTTACTTTGACGAGATGTTCAGCAAGCAATGACGTTCAGCACTTGTAAGTACTGTACAGTACGCTATCTAACATGTATCTAAAAGTTTTGCCTTTTCATTTTAATTAACTAAAACCTCTTTTTCTTTAAAAATAGTTTTTTTTCCTCTCCCATTTTCAACATACAGTACACGCAGTAACTGATTTGATTATCCGAATGAAGTCAGGTCCCAATTAATTCGGATAATTGGATTTCTACCGTACCATGTTCTCTGCCACAAAGTTCAGTTCAACAGCAAAATCACAAAATATTTATAAACAGCATAGCTTTAGCATTTCGGATATAGAGTCTCCCGCGCTGGAGATAATGTTTTAATCCGCACAGTGTTGCCACAGCTCGCTTTGAGATCGTTGAATTTGTTAAAATTTCATTAGTTTTATTAAGAATATGAAATACAAAATTGGAAGTTCAAAAATCGGGCTTCCGGGTGCGCATGTTCGAGTGCAGGACTACGTTTTTTAAAATTTGATTGCTCTGAGGTACCGTCCTTTTTCCACGGTGCAAGAAATATACGTGTATTAATGCAGTTTCTTCATCATTTAATTTCTTTAAAAATAATACAAGGCGATAATATTTCGTGGCAACAATTTGAAATTTGATTCAGATATATAAAGTGATACGCCACCAAATCGCGTTTGGAGGCTAATTGCCCATTCGGGGTAACGCCCTTTTGGTCTAATAATGAAAATTTGTAAAGTGAGGAATATATGGCAAATAATACTTCAAGTAATTTTCTCAAAAATTTAAACATTTCTTTAGCCCGCTTGTGGTCTTAACAGAACTCGAAGAAATTAAGATGCCTTGTAACGACGCCAAGTATTCCAAGAGGAGGAAGGATAGTTGAACTACTCCAAGAGAATTTAAAATAGAACAAGGGATACACCAAAGAGGAAAGACTCCAGTGTGTCATGAAATAGAGGTCATTGCTACTCAATAAATCTTTTCCTACGCACAGAAATGCATAACAGATACTGAAATGCATCACTCTTATTGTCTTTTTAACATCTGTTTGTCAGATAAAAATGAACGTAATGCAAAGATATCTTCCCGAAGATATTTGCCAGCTATGCTACTGTTAATTTTCGAATTTGTTTAACGTAATTTATATTTTTAGACTCTATTAAAATTAATTTTTATCGAGATAATTAGATATGATGCTGTTAAATTTCAAATTTGTTTAAAGTAATTTATATTTTTATGTTCTGAAAAAATCGAATTTTATCGTGATTTTATATTTAAGTCACGATAAGTCACTGAGCATATTTTACCATGCATAAAATCTCAAAACGAGGGCAGAATTTCAGCTCCACAAAATAAAAAATACGAGTGCTCTTTTTATTAACAAATGAAGTTTAAATCAATAGAAATTGAATAAATATTGGGACACATACTCAAAAATATGTACTAAGTATTTTTTATTATAAAAACCACACATTGAAAATTTCATTACATTCTATAGACCTGCATTGGTTATATTGCACCAATAATGGGAATCTATCTTTATTCAATATGATAAATTTATCAATGTGCATAAATAATGAATAATTTTAAAAATTGCAGAAAGATTTTTAATATACTAGCAAGCTCACGATTCTCTTAATCGAATAAGCGAATGCGTAAAACTCGCTTAAGTATGAAAATGGGAGAATTAATATGTAGAGAATAAATCCAATTTTAAAATTATATATATCTTGAGATTGGGTGATAAGATAAAACGAAATTAACAGAAAAATATTAAAGATAAAACAAAGGTCGATCCATTATTTTAATGTTTTATTTTATAACATAACTCAAATTCTGTGCAACAGTGAGCAGTAAAGTTTAAATCAACTCATGAAATCAAAAACTCGAGTTTTTGGTTTCATGAGTTGATTTACTTCAACTCGTGAAAATGTTTCGAGCAAAAGTATTTTTAAATATTGTTAATAATTAATGAAAATGTTACGAGCAAAAATATTGTTAAATATCGCTAATAATTACTAAACATTGATCAGCTGAAAAAATGCCGTCCATGCTCCACACCCTTTTTTCTTCCTTCACCTTTTCTAATT